GATCATCGACTCAAAAATAAACTCTTTTCCCTGCATGCCACTGGAACTCCATCACAATGTAAATAAGAAGGTAATCCCTTGGAACTACCTCCAACATTTTGTTATTTTTATACCAAACCTTTTGAAACACTGACATTTCTCACAGGTTTTTATTATGAAAATCTTATTTATTATTCATAAATTATAATTGTAAAAAGCTCTACTTTTCTGTGAATAACACAAGACTATGTACCTACCTAATTTGAAGGGCAGTTATTCTTTTTTGAAAATGCAGTAAAAATGTGCTAATTTGCAGGCTGCCACAGAATGTTTTGTCCAAAAAATGATCCTTGATGCTAAAACTTGGAAATACGTATAACTAAACTTATTGTTCATACCGTTCCTTCTGATTGGTAACATTGTGACATGCTTTCTACAGTTATAGTAAATAAAACTTTACCCATGCACATTCACTCAGAATGCTCCTGTAAACACTTTTTCCTTGATCTGTTAGTGTGGGCATGCTAAAACTTCCACTGGAACCATCACTGATATGTCCCCTATAGTCAATAAAGCTTCAATATTCTTCCCAGATAAGTGTCATCTTTTTGCCCATCTCTCAGTCTTCTTTCATTCATAGGGAGGAGTCCTTTTTCCTGTATGCATGTATTTCAACCATGCAAATTCTTCCTTTTTATCGTGCATGTCACCCTCCACTTTTGAGTAGGCCTCCCCATCTATGTCTTTCTAGTAGTTTCTCATAACCTTTTTTATCATAACAAAAAGAAACAAGCAATTTGCAGTATTTCGAGTTGCTCTATGTGCTGTGATCAACATGTATTATAGTGAAGAATTGATCTCTATTGTATCTATATTTTCTCACCTATCTTTATTCTGATTGTCTTCTCTTAGGCTAGGCTTTCAGCTTTGAACTTTGATATGCTCTGACTAGCAGAATACCCACAACTGGAGTTCATATACATTATGTTAATACAATGTAGTAACGATAAATAATGCTTTGTTGCACATTCATGGGAGCATCATGAGGATGCTCATGAGGGAGCATTATTTACACAATGAAAGGCATTAGGGTCCAAGTTGTGTTTTTCATGATCCTTCTGGGGAAGGCCCAAGTAGGAAGGGATGCATCCTGCACATCAATATCTGTCTGATATTGCAAGCTGCGCTACTGGATCTTGTTAGGATCTTTCTTGCAAAGTGGAGTGAGAACATCTTCAGAAATTAGTCTACTTACCAGCTGAGGAAGGTTTTGAACTAGGAACCTCAGAGACCAGGTGTAGAGGCAAGGCTGAGAACATGAGATGGGGACATTCCCACAATTCCTCCTACAATTTATGAATGGAGTCCCATCTCAAATATCATTGCACAAAATATACAGCATGGGAAGTGAAAATAGGTATTGGTGCAATGCTGTACAACTATAATCTGAGAGATCTGGCAGCACAGCTGATGTCATCCCAAAGCTGAGTTGGGTCTGCTTGGGATAAAGGTAACTTCATCCATAAAAGCCTGTCTGGTGCTATATTTTGGATTCGTGACTAAAGCAATGTTGACAACTCCCCCAGTGTTTTAGCTGTTGATAAACAGCATTTGCACAGCTCCAAGGCTTATCTCCACTCTGCCCTACTAGTGAGTAGGTTGGGAATGCACAAGAATTTTGAGGGTGACAAAACCAGGACAACTAACCTGAACTAGCCAAAAGGATACTCTATGATTTCATGCTCAGCAATCAAATCTCAGGGAATGGAGAAGGCAAGTGGGTTCACAGTTATGTTGCTGGTCTTCCCAGCTGGGAAATGGCTGGATATCTGCCTGTCAATGGAAGTAGTTAATGAATTCCTTTTTTTGCTTTGTTTGCATGTGCAGATTTGACTTTTATCTCAACCCACCAGTTTCTACTGCCTTTGGTGCTGTGACCCTGTCATTGTACAATTTTAAATTCTGAAGTAAACAGAAAAGGTAAATAGAAGAATGAAGAGCCTTTAGGACAGCAGACTTCAGAACTGACCAGCAGCTTCCCCTAAGTGGCATTCTCCTCCCAGGGGCTCTCATTCTTAAGCGGTATAATGGCCTATGATAACTTGTTGATCTTCAAGGACAACCTTCTCAAAACATAAGAGTGATCTACACTCACATGCAGAAATTTGTAACAATAGAGAGTGAAAAAAGATTGGAGTTATGTTAAGGCTAAGCAAATAAAGTGCACGCTAGAAACACCTTTATTTGAGATGTGTGAAGGTATAGCCAACCAGCAGCTGGAATAATGTTACACTGGCACACAGTAATGTTCAGGAGAAGAAAAAAATGCAGACAGTGATAAATTTAAGCACCAAGTGGGAAGACCTGAAGGAGGAGAAATATAATTTTACTAGTTACTATGGGAAATTTATGAATTCACCTATATTAGAAGTGAGCATGCTATATTGTAAATAAATTATTAATCAAATTTAAGTAATATTTCAAAATTTAATATTTTGATAAAGTAGTGAATTAAGATAACCTGAGGAAGGTACCAAGAACCTGTGCACTAAAGTGGAGAATGATATATAGCATGCAGGGAGAAAAGGTTGCAGAAGCACTTCAGAAGATTAATAATATAAAGTACCTGACCCAGATGAAATGCCAAAAAAACACATTTAAATTGTGGGAATTAAAGAAATCTAAGAATTTGCCTGGCTACTTAGTAATATTCTTTAGCAATATATTGTATTATTATCTTCAAAGGTTTATTGTTCTTATTTTAAATATAAAGGAAATATTAAAAATTTCAATAGTTAATGTAAAGTTTAACTAACTCAGCTTCATCCAGACTGTGAACGAAAAATGTCCATAAATGCTAAGAATAAATAAGTCTGCTATAGCAAAATAATGATAACTATTAAACTGTATCTGGAACTAGCCTTGAATCCATTAAATCTACAAGTGTTACCTTTGTGGTAAACGAGAATAAATGAAAAGAAACACCTTGAAATGCTATGTTCTCTTGTGGTTCCTTTTTCTGCACAGAACAGTCATTCTTTAAGACAGCTGTGGCAGTGGCAACTTGAGCAGGCTGGACTTGGAGTGTTAGTACGACCAAGAACATGAGCAGTGAAGAAAAAAATCAGAATGCTTTGCTTCAATATGGAAATTAGAACTTTAGCATAGCTGAATGACTGGAGGTTGGAGAAAGGAGAGGAGGAGAGGGGAGGGGAGGAACAATAAAGAATTCAGGCTACATAATGTGGAGCTTAAAGCAGTGGGTTATAGTTTGAGGAGGATGTAGGAAAAAAGGGAAAAAGAAACTTTGGAAAGTTTTGTGGTTGTTGTTGTTGCTCATTTTCCAATGGAGAAACTAATGTTTTTAGGGTGGGCCATCTGTTTCCTGACTAAATATCATAAATATTAATTTGTCTTTTGACAAAGGAAAGGGAAAGAAAGGAAAAGAAAGACTGACAAGGCAGAAGCAGAGGTAGCTGAAGGAGTGACAGTCTTGACAAAATTAGCATTTTTTTCTTCATCTTTTATGGTTATATTGTGAACTTAAGCATGACTCAAGTATCATATTCATCTTATAAGTATATATGGCATGAACAAGCCAAAGGTACTTTCAGCATCATTGAATATTTAAGCAATAAAAATGGTTTACAATAATCTTTGAATATGTTATTAACTCTGCGGGATGATGAGACTTGAAAAGGATACATCGCACTAAGCACCCACAAAATGGTGGTAGCCATAAGTATTTGGAGACTCACTGTACCCTCACTGTAGTGTCTTTCCTGCTCTAATAGAGCAGCTATATATTCACTTATATGTTCAGCTATATTTTTCCCCACATGTGAGAAAAGTGTCAAAAGAAGCACTTAAGATTAGTGTAATTTAGATAATACCTTTTATTTAAATGATCAGTGTTAACAGTTAAAATTCACCAACATCCTGAAACTCTCTATAAATCTAACATATAAATTAATATGAATAATAATTTAAAAAATTATCTAATTTCCTGCAAAATGCAAAGTGTGGGAAAAGCACTTTTCATCTCCCACTGTAGTACTGAATGCCAGCTAGGTAATTATGTACCTTCCAAATTAATCCAAAGACAAATATATTTTGGCCAAAATGTAAATCTGCTCTCTAAGCTAATCAGCAAAAAAAAAATAAAAAATATAATAAGACTAAGTTATATTGTATTTCCTGAATTACTCACTGTAGTCCTTCATTCCTCAAACATAAAGGCTTGCTCCTTTTAAAATTTATGGGTATGCCTAATTTACTACAGAAAAAATTCCTGTTTCCCTAAATGCCTGCAGACTTTCTGGCAGAGAAAATATTAGTTCACAATTGGTACTGCATGTGGAAAGTGTCATTCAAACAATTTTTCTAGTATAGTATAGTCAAACTATGTGACCTTACAAGTGGGAGGAGAAAACTTGAATTTTCCTACTCCCTTTGAAATTGCTTTTGTTTACTTTGAAAATAGAGCTACAATGACTGAGAAGAAGAAAAATTTTAACCGGATCAAAAACAATAACATGTCTGGCATACTCTGAAAAAGTTCAGATAATGATCCTTGCTGAACACTTCATGGGAAAATTAAGGGCCTTATCACTATGTCCTTGAACATAGAGGAGGAAACCTCTGTTGGCTTTTAAAAACTGGGGATTTTTGTTTAGGAGAGAGAGAAAAGAAGTTTCAATTTATTTCTTCCATGGAGCATGCAGTATGTAGAGGGACTGTATGGTCTCTCTTTCTGTTTCTTATTTTTCCTTTGATGTACAGGGACATCACTAGTGTGCACTGTTCACTATTCACACCAACTTTCAGGCTAGTTCAAAATAGTCCAGTTCATGATACATCTGTTTTTCAGCCTGAATGTCACTACCACCATTAAAAGATTTAGACCATAGATCTATAGCATTATATAATATTATTTCATGCAACATTACATCTATACAAAATTCTTTCGTGGCTTTATTGGACCATTGGGTTTGTATGGCCAGGTTTTGGTAGATGGGGGCTGCAGGGGTGACTTCTGTGAGAAGCTGCCAGAAGCTTCCCCCATGTCTGGCAGAGCCAATACCAGCTGACTCCAGGATGGACCTGCCACTGGCCAAGGCCAAGCAAATCAGGAATGATAGTAACACCTCTGAAATAACATATTTAAGAAGAAAAAAAGGTATTGCACAGATGAAATTGCAGCCAGAAAAGAGTGGAGTGAGAACATGTGAACAACTATACAGATGCCAAGGTCAGTAGTGAAGGAGTGGGAGGAGGGGATCCAGGCACCAGATCTGAGCAGGCCAGTAATGGCAGATGCAGCAGAAGCATGGCAGAAATGCACCTGTCAAGAGCAGACAGCAACAGGATTGCAGGATTGAACCTGGAAATGCAGGCTCTGAGCTGGGTTACAGAAACCCAGATCAAGGATTAGATTACTGGTGTTATAAAATGACATGATGCAATGTTGATAACATCTGTTTTGAAAATTATGTGTGTCTGGGCTATACCTGTTGTCTGAAATGATGCCAGGTGTCTGAAGAGCCATCCAAGGCCCTGAGGGACACTGATGTTCTAGATATTCAGTGGGTCGTTAAGGTCAATAGTTTAAGCATCACAGAAACAAATACACTTAATCAAGTGATTCCTGCTTTAATCCTGTTAGTTCTGAATTAAAACATGATTTTGAGGTTAAAAAAATCCATTCCTGCCTAAACTGTGTTGAAGATGTTATTGTATTTTCTGGTAAATTACATTCATTTTTTAATTTCTCTGTTATTTTCTTTATGAAGTCCAGGCTAAAAAATAGTTCAGGGTAGATTTAAGGAAAAGTCTATGAGCAACGAACAATTACATCTGTAAAACTACTGCTACATATCAGTACAGTAGTAAAGTCTGAATTTGTTCTTCTTAATGCATTGCATAGGCTGTGCTTGAGCGGTTCTTTTATGACCTCAACTTTTTTTTTATTAAATTATTTCTTCCTGTGATTATACATGCATTCACATCCCTAAACTTTAGTTTCTTACAACTACTTTAGAGTTTTACTAATTTTGACCGGTTCTGACCACTGAGCTTTCATTTTCTATGTATTTCCCATCAATTTATGTGCTTTTATTGCTGACTACAGTATTTAATAACATGACTGGAACACCCTTATTTAAAGCTATGTGATACTCAGGAGTGAATAACAAAAGCTGGGATGGTAGGATAGCATTGTTGGTTAATGAAATTATATATTGTAAAGAAATAAAATCAGACAGCATGGAGTAAAGAGAAACTTATTTTTATCAAAACTAATTTGGGGAGAGGTTATAGAAGCAATTTTACTTTATTGGTCTTATGAGAGTTCTCCACAAACCTCAAGGGTTGAAAATAAATACAGACTTCTATATTTTACTAGAGAGATTAATGCTACTAGAAATGGTAACAATATTGCAATATTGGTAATTTTTTTCTCCACTATATATTGGTGACAAAAAGTGCTGGAGAGAGTGGCGAATCTTGATCATCAAAACAAATGCAGTTCTTTTTGATAACTTTAATGGGTGATGGTAGTGTGTCTAACAGAGGAAAGATATAAAATTACTTTATAAGCAGATCACATAGAAGTGGGTTGTAACTTAATTTTTTCATAGGGTAAGTTAACCATTTATAGTATTCTTACAAACACCCTGTCCTACAGATTAAAGTTTACCCTGGTAATATTATGTTTGTATAGTTACTATGAAATCAGCTTGACTGAGATACTAACAAATCAGTGGTAAAAGATGCCTGAATTTCTCTAAATCACACCTACCAAAACTCAGAGGAATTTGTATTTCAAGGGGACAGGAAAACATCTGACACAGCTGTTGTGTGAGCCCAGTAGGGAAGGTTTCCTACTGGACCTGTTGTTTGTGAACAGAGAAAACTTGTGGGTGATGTGAGGGTTGGAGACTGTCTTGGGCACAGTGATCATGAAATGATAGAGCCTTTGGTTCTTTGAGAAGTAAGGAGAGGATTCAGTAGAACTCCCACCTTGGACTTCCTGAGGGCAGACTTTGGTCTGTTTAGGATCCCAGTTGACAGACTCACTTGGGAGACAGTCCTAAAGTGCAAAGGAGTCCAGCAAAGCTTGATATCCTTCAAGAAGCAAATCTTAAAGGCATGTGTGCCAGAGGATGAGCTGGTGGGCAAGATTAACTGGGTTTAACAAATACCTTTGGCTGGAACTCAAGAAAAAAAGGCGAGTTTATGACCTTTGGAGGAAGGGGTGGCTCACTCAGGAGGACTCATGAGAGAAAATTAGAATGGCGAAAGACCAACTAGAACTTAATTTGGTCACTGCCATAACAGACTGGAAGGTAGAAGGGATCTGGACAGGCTCTCTTGATGGGTCAAGGTGCCTGATATGAGGTTCAACAAATCCAAGTGCTGAGTTCTGCACTTGGGTCACAACAATAAAGCAGCTCTACAGGCTGGGGGAAAAGTGGATGGAAAGTTGCCCAGAGGAAAAAATCTGGGGGTGCTGGCCAACAGCTGGCTGAACATGAACCAGCCTTCTGCCCAGGTGGCCATGGAGGCTAGTGAAATCCTGGCTTGTATAAGAAATAGTATGGCCAGCAGGACTACAGCAGTGATCATCTGTCTGTGTTTGGCGCTGGTGAGACTGCATCTCAATTCTGGGTCTCTCACTACAAAAAAGACGTTGAGGTGCTGGAGGATGTCCAGAGAATGACAATGGAGCTGATGAAGGATCTGGAGAACAAGTATTATGAGGAGCAGCCAAGGGACCTGTCCTGTTTATCTGGGAGAAAAGGAGGCTGAGTGGAGACCTTACTCCTCTCTTCAACTACCTGAAAGGAAGCTGTAACAAGGTGGGGGGGGTCAGTCTCTTCTCCCACATAGCAAGTGATAGAACAAGAGGAAACGGCCTCAAGTTGCTCCAGGAGGGGTTTAAATTGGATATTAGGAAAAATTTCTTCACTGAAAGGGTGGTCATGCATTGGAACAGGCTGCCCAGGGAAGTGGTGGAGTCACCAGTCCTGGATATAATTTAAAAGAAGTGTGGATGTGGCACGTAGGGACACAGCTTAGTGGCAGACTTGGCAGTGCTTTCTGGATCCCTTTCCCCCCATGGCGTGGGGCGGCCCAGTTCTAGTTCCATTTCCGTCTGAGGAACCATTCCGACGTCTTGAGGGATAGGGAAAGGGAACTCCAGCATCAGGGGTTTCTTCAGTCCCTGAGCCTGGAGGGGAGAGGTGCCCTCCTCTCCTTCCACCACCCACATGGTTCCATGGCAGGCACAGAGACAGCACACCAGTGTGGAGAGGAGGCAAGAGA